AAAGGAAAAGAAAACAAGAACAAACAACAACAACGAATCCTCCAACGCATAAAGGGAAAGGAATTTGTGCTGTAAGTAGCAGAGGCAGGCAGAAGGCAGACCAATGTTTTCCCATTCACATTCTTCCAAAGCCTAAGTTAAAAGTGCAGAAATTAAATAATTTATCAGGCCACAGAGAAAGAAAAGGCAGAGAATAATCCCATAGATGATGTATTTGCTTTATTCAACTTGGTGGTCAGCACCAAAAAGATTAGTGCATTAAATGTCATTATAGATATAAGAGAGATGTTTTTGCAGGACAAGAAAGTTTGCTTTCATTAAATCCGTGGGAGTGCTGCCATTTGCTTGAATCTAAACAAGACCAAATCCTTATGTGGCTATCTTAGAATGTTACAAAAGAGCAGTCTCCAGAGATAGAAGCCTCCAAGCCTGTCCAGAAGCTGCTTGTTCCACACTTGTTAATCTCCTGGGAAGGACGCTGAGGGTCGTGGCAAGGTCAGAGCAGGTGAATCCTCTTCTGGTGCCATTCCTGGTACCTGGAGTGCATCACCTCCTTTTCTCTTTCCTCTCTTAACCTGGATGTGCCAGTTCAACTTTGCTCCTAGCCCCTGTGACACTTTGGCAGAAAAGCAAATGAGATAGAGTACTCTGAGGGTTGATACAAGATATCTGCCCAGCTTCCTTTTACCTCTCAGTGCCCCTTCCCAGCCCTGTTTCTTCCTTTTACTGTCTGTGTTAAAATGCATTCACTTTGAGGAATTTGGCCATGGTGATGCTGCACACAGGTGCCACAAATTAGTGCCTTCTCCATAATCTATTTCTTTAGTGTCCCTTCAATACATGACCCTTTCATAAGCTTCAGTGCTTGTTTTCAAACCCATTTCCCTCCCCATCTTGCAGCATCTGGCTCCTCGGACTAACTCAGAAATGCACATATCCATCTCCTCCTAACAGAAGTAAACCTAATGCTCTGAACCTCCCTTCCTGCTTCTGAACCTTCTCACAGTTTCTCACCCTTGCTGCCCTTCATGCCCTCTTTATGTTGGTGAACGTTTGCTCTCAAGGGGAAAGAAGACCTTAGTTACAGATGCATGAAATATCAGGGAAGTTTGAAAAATCAGTAAGCCAAACCTTCATCCCAGTCCGGAGGAAATGGGATGTCATCTCACATTTTTAAATAAGAGAGAAAGTCTCTTTGAGGCCCCCAGATGGACTTGCAGGTCTAAGAGCCTATTACATATTTTGTACTGGATGCAAGGAGTGGAAGATTGCTGAAAAAACTATCCTAAAAATCATCACCTGCATTTTGAAGTCTTGTTTTACTGGCCGCATCAGCCCAAAGGCAACTGAAAACTGAAAGGAGCAACAACAGTCACCATTTTCATGCTTCCAGCATAGCTGACCTATGTTTACATATCCCCAGAGAGAAATGTGAGGACTCTTTGTCAGTTCAAAGACCAGTATCTAGACAAGCCTGAGCGTGGGCTAACAAGCTGTCGTGTAGATAACATCAATGTGATTGTCTGTAGTGCTTGGCTTAGGATCAGTCCTTTCCTAACTGCAAGATATGAAAGGATTAATACCAAGTTTTTAATTACAAGTCCAGACACTGTGAAAGGCAAAGAAAGGAAGGGGTTAGTGAAATGGCCTATTTTATTTTTCAGTAGCTCTCATTCAATATCCCTAAGGATTTCCTACCTCCCATTAAAATTTTACCTGAAAAATGCTGATTGTAAGAAATCCAGTAGTGATACAGGCAAAGAAAAAGCAGACTGTTAAATACTCTTTGCTGCAGTAAATCTCCAGGTACCCGAAAGCCAGTAGGGCATGGGAAGGAGAAAGGGTGGATGAAACAGGGGCTGCATATTTTAATAGGATGATTGAAAATCCTGTATCAGAACTTGTCAAATACCAGATATTTACGTACAATTTTCAAAATGTTTTATTGCTCCCTTTTTGCAAGTTGTACTTTTGTCCGCTGTTCCTGTCTATGTGAAAACTAAAATTTTCCCAGTTCCTGCAGAGCGCTTCTTTCTCTGCCCTCCTCTTTCCCTCTAAGCTTGTTCAATAAACTGCTCAGCTGAATAACTAGAGATACTTCCCTCCCTTTTTCTCCCAACCTAGCAGTCTTTCCCTATCCAGCATTTTTTTTAGTGCTCTTTTTCCATTCTCTCTGCTGACTCCATTTGCTTATGAGGATGAGGGGTCCAAAGCCACATAATGACCAGATTTGTCCACATTCCTGCAATCAAGGTTGAGTGTTTGCTTTATTTTTTCATTGAAAGAGAATATTCACTTGAAGTAGAAATGAGTCTGAGCAGATATTAAGTGAGCATGAGCTCAACATGCATACAGAGCAGCTTAGGGTGAATTAGAAGGTATAGATGTGGAAGAGCTATCCCTATTCCAAAGCATTTGCACACATGTGGAAGGAGGCAGGTGGAGGTTGGGGAGTTCTGACCCAGAAATAGCTGAAAGTTTGGTAGTTTTTTTTTTTATTAGCCAGAATTTGAGTTACGTGTTTCTCCTAGCTGCTTGTTTGCATCCTGCATCTCTGAATCTGTTAGCTGAGTGGTGCCCTTCCAGAAACTAACAACCATTTGCTTGGGGCGCTGGTATAATTCGGCACATAGATGGAAACAGGGCCAGCAGTAGGTTAAACACAAAACAGCAAGTACAGGAAGGCAAGGAATGAATTAGATGAGTAAGACTGAGATCCATCTCTCTGTATGTCAGCCATGTGATTTTTCTCGATGCCTGTTACCACACAGAGGAAAGCAGCAACTACATGGCTAGCATGGGCCAGTGGAAGAAGAGTAATACATTCAGTTTTGGAGGGCACAAATGCTATCTTTTTTCTTTTTCTTTGCATATCAACAGTTGATGTCTGTCTAGGATCTTCCTTTAGGGAATAAGAAAGCATGCTACAAGTCCTTCAGATGAGTTACCACACAGAGACCGTACTTGCCCACTGTGGTAACCAATCTGCTTATGTGTGTAATAAAAGCAAAAAGAAATAGAATATTATTAAGCCACCAGCTTCCACTAACTGTGGGTGAGTGGGGATCTCTGCTATGAAGAAGCCTCTTTGCTCTGGACGGAATGTTGCCCTCTCAGGGATGAAAGGTCCCACTCTTCACAACTACCACATCACTGCACAGCAGAAACAAGGAGCCTTCTGGGAGCTGGAGGATGAAATCGTTTAGATGGGGTGTAAACTAGCTGATTTGAATTTGTTATAACAGTGGAGCCAACAGTCCCAATACTGAGAAAAACATCATGAGTTTTTCTTCAAGTATGACCTTCCACAGTAACGTAGAGGCACAGAGGTATACGCATTATTGCAAAGGGAATTAGAGTGTCAAGAAGGAATCTGCTGTACAGGTCTCTTCTTTAGTGGATAGGTCAGAGGGTCATTGTAAGGACATCCCATCCCCCTTAGCAGGTCCAGCCCAAGCTGCTGTGCCATGAAACCTCTGTGGACCATTCCTGGATTGATATCACTCATGCTGAAACACAGCTGGGTCTTTCATCGCATTAAACTTAAGGCAATCAGGAATGAAGAGAGGATTGTCTGGCCTTTGAGGGACCAGTTAAAGAATTGCATATAACCATCTTGGAGCTGCATAATTAAACCCGGCACATAGCTGTTAGTCAAGCACATGGAGGCTCTTTACATAATATTTGTGCTTTGTTAATTGAGAATTCTCAGATGCCCACATTTAGAGGGTTTTAGAAGAAGACTCATTACATTCAGTCCAGGCTCTGTCTGTTCCTTTTGGCCCCTGGAGGTGCGTCTGTGATGCATCGTGCTCCCCATTGGAAAATGGCTTTGGTAAAGTGAATCTTGGATTTAATCAGAAGGTGAAATGGTGAGCAAAAAGACTTTTTCAAATGGCATGAAAGATTACATTCTAACATATGTACAGTGCCAAACCATGTTATTTCTACAGCCTGCTCCTCTGGCTGGCTTAATGAGAATACCTGTTCCACCAGCATGCAGTCCTACATCCTTCTGTGGCTCCTAGCTCCTCTGAAATCAATGTCTGTGTTCCAGAGGCTGTATTGTAACCAAACAATAAATTCAGGACAATGAGAAAGTAGATCTTGACCCCGGCAGGTGCCAGAAATACATGCACAGCAACCTGCTTCTACAAAGCATTCAGTATCTCTATTTCCAGGTGCTTGTTGTAAGAAGGATCTGAAGCTGCTTAGAAGCTTGCAAGCACAAGCCACAAACCACACATACAGATGGAGGTAGCGGTGTCAGCCATCGCTTGTTTTTCAAATACTTTCTCCCTTGGAGCACTTAAGCATTTGAGTTCTAGTGTCTAAGAAGCGAGCAAGGAGATACTCAGAAGCAAAATGCAGGCAGAAAAGCACAATCCCCAGTGCAGCCATGTAACTTAGCAGGGCTGCAAAGCAAAGCATCAATTGGCAGCCACATTTGAAAAAAAAAAAAAACCACAACAAAAAAGCAACAATGACATTTGTAACAGCAACAATAAGATGGGATTTGCCTGTATCCCACATTACGTTCACTGATGTTTCAGTGCAGAATGGCCAAATGACTGCAAGTAATAGACAGAACTACGTATTTCAGCGATGTGGTGCTGCATCCTCTTTTTAGGTGAGACAGCTGTGCCCACCTGCTCAAGACAAAACTAGGACCTACCCGTAGGTGCTTGATGCTCCCAGCCTCTTTATTTCTGTAGGTGTCCCATCCTAAACACTCTTCCTCTTCCTGCTCATTGTCTTCATCCCCCACACACCCCCACGCACGTGGCTCTGGATCTCCTCATCATGTTCTTCTCGTTAAAAACCCCATTGTTCATTTGTTTGTTTGTTCTCTCTCTCTCCTCTTTTTCTCTCTCTTTCCCTCTCTTTTTTTTTTTTCTTTCTTTCTTTCTTTCTTTCTTTCTTTTTTTGTCTCCTCTGTTTTGTGTACCCAGGCAGCCCATTGAGTAACTTCTTTGACGTAATTAAACAACTTTTTTCAGACGAGAAGAACGGGCAGGTGAGCCATCCCCCCGGCACGCCAACCAAGCATAGCGCAAACAGCAAGCGGAGCGATTCCGGTTCTAATGACTATGGGTCTAGAGGAGACAATAAGTACCCTGCTGGCAAAGACAAGGCAAAGATGGTCTCATCAGTCGGCCTACAAGACCAACCTTAAATAAACACATAAAAAATTAAATAACTTAGAAACAAAATCAGAAACAAAAAACAAAAAAAATAAAGCAAGAAAGAATGAAAGAATATTCCTTAGCGAGCTAGCCTCTAAACTAGAAGGATGTATATACCTTGCCACAACAGTACAAAACTGTCTATAGACAAATTTTGTATGAAGGAATGACTGTATATATATACATATATATATTTATATATGATATATAATATATATCTCAGAAACAAACACAAAAACAAACGAACGAAAGAATGAAAAGAAAAGAAAGAAAAGAAAAGGTAGCACAGATGACAAACCCAGTTCGACAGATCTTGGGTTGTGGTTTTTTTTTTTTTTGATTGCTTCTTTTTTTTTTTTTCCTCCCTTTTTTTTAATTTTTTTTTTTTTTTTTTTTTTTTTTTTTTTTTTCTCCTTCCTGATTTTTTGGGTTTTTTTATTGTTATGATTACTTTTTGTTTTCTTTCGGTTTGTTTCTTGTTCTGTTCATGCTCTCTCTGTGTTTCTGACGACACCACTTGTTTCCGCTCTGCTACCAGGAATTATCCCGAAAAGTTAACATGTCAGCCACGGCTTCACCTTCTGTGCTCTGCGGACACTTGTTGACGGAAGGCAACCGATGTAGACTGTCCAAGGACCAGTCCTGTTTGAGGTTCCCAGCCTCCCCTCTCCCTTCAGGAAGTGGGTTTCTCCCCCACTTCTCCCCAAACATCTCCCCAATGCACGCTTTTTTTTATTATTATTATTATTGCTTTTTTTTTTTTTTTTTTTTTTCCTCTCTCTTTTTCATTTTTGGTGCTCCACAAGAGAGATCTGCTCAGTTATTGGATTGCAAAATCTGGGCTGAAAGGAGGTTGCAAATTGTTGGAGTGAAACCTTTGCCCTTGGCAGCTTCTGTCTGCGCAGGTGAACTCTGCCTGGAGCGGGAGGGTGCAGGGAAGGAGACGGGGTAGTGGGAGCGCAGTGTTGCGTGGATCCAGAGCGCGTTCTCATCAGAAACCAGCTGGGAGCAACTCAAAACTAAGCCTTGAACCAAGACAGTATTGGGGAGCTTCATCACAGGATTTTCTTAACCTTCTTTTTGTCCCCGCCACCTTTTCTGTTTCTTTTGGCCTTTTTTTAATCTATATATACATGTATATTTATGTGCGTATATTTTGATAAAAATATACATACATACATACATATATATACACAGAAAATAATTGTGTTTTGTTTTGATTCGTTTTGTTTTTAATGCCGTCTCATTTTGCTTTTTGACCTGCTGGAAGGGGAAAGGAGTAAACTTAGGAGGGAGAGGGGGGTTAAACGAATAAACACATACAAACAAAACATGAAAACTTAGGGAAAAGGCAACTTCTGGTAGCAAAGAAGAGGGACAAGACTCTGCCAAGGACTGTCTCTCCCGCCGCCAGGCACGGTTGCTGCTGCTGCTACTGCTGTTCCTCCTTCGACACCTTCCTCCCCATCTGTCAGCTCCCTGCCACTGTGCCACCGTGCTGGGACCTTCTTCCACCAGCTGGAGCCTCCACCGCACCCTGCATTTAGAGGCAATTGTTGTGTTGCTAGTGCTGCATTGATATCAGTATTATTATTTCTTTAAGTTACCGATTTCATTCGTTGGCTTGGGTGAATTTTTTTCTTAAGAAAAAAGAGAAAAAAAAAAAAAAGAAAAAAAAAAAGAAAAAAAGAAGACGAAGAGGAAGAAAAGAGTCTTATCTTGGGTTTTATTTCCTGTGTGTGTGTGTGTGCAAATCACTGGCACTTAGTTCATCTGAGCAAGGCAAGGTGGAGTCAGGGCAGTGGGAGACTTAATCACGAAGCTACTGTAAACTTTAAAAATTACTGCAAGATATTTTTATAAAGTTTTAGTTTTTCTTTTTGCTTTGGTTTGTTGTTTTGTTTTGTTTTGTTTTGTTTTGTTTTTGAAGGGGAGGAGGGTGGGGTTGGGTGGATGGGGACCTTCTTTTTTTGCGTTTCAGTTCTTAGGTCTTGGTTATTTATATATACATATATATATATTTAAAAAATAAGCTGTTAGATATATCTTCTGTTTAATGACTGTGTAGAGGCAACATTGATTCTTATTTATTTTGCGGAGGAGGGGGAAAAAAGACACAGCAACCCCGTAAGTGTTCATCTTGTGACTTTGAGAAAGAAGAATCGCCGCCTTTTTTCCTCCTCCTCAGGAGTTACGTGACCAAGTGTAACTTATTCTGGCCCAAGTTCAAAGGTTAAACAAACAGACAAAGAAACAAACGTGGTTTTACGCCTGGAAGACAAAACACAGTGAGAAGTTCTTCTTGACTGAGATTTTAAGAATGTAGGCTTAGCATTAGTGTTCAGCTCTTTTATGACCTTCGATTGCTGCTCGTTGGGTTCCTATGGGTGTATGTTGTATCGCAAGATTATTCTTATTTTTTTTAATGATAATGTTGTATGAGTTCTTTTTGGTTGTTGTTGTCGTTGTTGGTTTTTTTAATCATTTTTCCCCTTCTCGGACCAGTTTTACTTGTACATAGGTTTGAAGATTAAAGCGAATTTTTAAAGACACAACTGGGGCAAAGACCTTTGACTTTGGCCCCGCTTCCCCATTCCCCCAAAACGGGAGGGATTTATTTTACGTTTCCGTTCTATTTATTTATTTATTTTCCCTACTCCCAACCTTTTCTCTCGTATTGCTGTGTGCATGTCAGACACCAGGGGGTGATGGCTGGGGAGGGGGGGAGGCAAGGGTGCAGGAGAGGGGGGCAGTTTTAATTGCATGACATTGCTGTAAATTAGTCTCTTTTGCTTTCGTTGTCTTTCCTGCCTCCGCCCTCTCTCTACTTCTCCTCCGAGCTCCCCTCCCATCACCCCCGTCCTTCTTTTCCCTCTTTTCTCTTCCCTTGTGTATAGATTTTGATGCTTCTGTTACATTGTACCTCTACGAAAGGCTGGGATTTCAATACAAAATAATAATAATAATTTAAAAAATACCTATATCAGCAAAACCCACGTGGTACAAGCAGGAAGGGGATTACTTACACAAGATATAAGAATAAACGAAAGCAATACCTCTTGTTATCCTTCCTATTTTGTACTTTGAAGACACACACGCGCGCACACACACATATACAGACACAAACTGACGTTATTTAATGGTTTAAAATGGACAACAAAAATCTGATGTATCCCTTGTTAAATAACTGTGAGCAACTTTAGTTCAAAAACCAATAAATTCATTCAGTAAAGAGACGAGCTGTGGCGTGTCCTCTTTGTGTCCGTCAGGCGAGCCGCCCGGCCCGGTAAGTAGCGCGGCGCCGCCTCGCGCTGCCTGTAGGGGGCGCTGCTCCCAACCGCCTCGCGCTGCCTGTAGGGGGCGCTGCTCCCAACCGCCTGGAGTTCTCGAGGCGCAGCTCCCCGCACGCTTGGCGAGAAGAGGGCGGCACGCGGTGCGGCTGTTGGGCGCGAGGCGGATCGAGGGGTGGCGGAGCAGGTAGGCGATGGGGCTGAGCTGGGGGTGCTGAGGAGGCTCGGCGCTTTTGGAAGATTCCACGTTGCTGCCGCAGCACGGGGAAGACGAGCCCTCGGGTTCCAGGAGGGATTTATTGATTTGCTAAGCGAGGCGAGGGGGGAGATGGTGTCCTGAAAGTGAAGGGGACAGCAAACGCTGCGGGCGCTGGAAGTCTGGGAGCTGGCATGGTGGCGTGTGGAAGGAGCTGCTGGGAATGGCCGTGAGCTGGGATGGTGTCGGTGTGTAACCATGGTCCTTTGCACTGCTCCTTGCTGCGGTCTCCACGTGCTCTAAGAAGAGGTTTCTGCTAAGGGCAGGACCTCACGCTTACAGCCAACCCGTGTTTATTCTGCCTTTTTTTGCTCTGAAAAACGGTAGAAAGAACACAGTTGTGTACAGATGCGGAGAGGATCATTGGCAGTGGGTTGGTGGTTGAACTGGATGATCTCAGTGGTCTTTTCCAGTCACAATGATTCCACGATTCTGTTCTGTTACGGTCTCCAGCTGTTTGATGCTTTCTTATCAGTCAGTGCATAGGAGAGATTGTTCTTTTGGATGAGGACAGTTTACATTTAACTTTCCCTCCACAGCCCCTTTTCCATTGCGTGGCTTGAATCGGATGGCAGGCAGCAGCCACAGCAGAGGATTTTGCCCGTTCTCTGTGCTGCCAGGTGCCGGCTGGGAGCTCATCCAATCCCAGCACCAGGTGATGTCTGCTGAGATGCCCTGAGCTCAACACCTGTGCTTGAGCTGCAGCAGCTGAGTTTTGCTGTGGTGCCGATCCTCTCAGGCCTCTTGTTCTCCTTGGAGCTCCCCTCCCCTAGGCTTTGTACCTCAAACGCTGGCTGTGCTTAACCTCCATCTCTGACATTCCCTGTGAGCACAACGTTCCGCTTCCAGAGTACAAATTGAAGACAGAGAAAATGTGTAAGACACCAGTCAGCATTTTCTGTTTGTCTGCACACGCTCACACGTGCATTTTGTTTAGATAATGCATATGTGAAAATGTGTTTGTGCTGAAGGTGAGCTGTCATTAATTGAACCAGTACATGACTTGCTGTGTGTATAAGCAGTGAATTGTGCATTAAATGAGCAGCTGAGGCTGCTGAGGTGTTTAGATGATTCTCATTGCCACATGTCAACATGCAGTCAGTTTGGAGGCTGAGAAAGAAGCCGGTTGTCTTTGACAGCATTAATGCAAATTGTCTAAGATTTATAAGCAATGTGTAAGAATTTCCTCACGGGTCAGATTGGCTTTAATGAAAGTGATCTGATACAAGTGGGTGAGCTTTGTGGCTTGGGCTAGTCAGGGGTAAGGAGCCGTATTCATTAAAACAGCAAAACTTGTGTAATGCCTCCAGGTAGTGCTAATTCCAGCACCTGCTGTTAGGGTGTGTGCCTTTCTTCCTGCTGGGTCAGGCAGTGCCTTTAACCCAGCAGGCTCAGCGATTTCTTTCCATGCTGCAGCTGAGTGCCCACAGGCACAGAGTATCTGCAGGGCTGGTACTGAACCTTCACTTCGTTTCAGCTCTGTTATACACTGACGTTTGTATGTGAGCTCCTGGAAGAAGAGCGGGCTGTTTTGGTAAGGAAGCAGATTTAGTTCACAGTTTCTTATTATAGAAAGCAGAGAGGGGAGGGAGACACTTGTTTAAAAACTGGCAAGTGTCTTAGCTCTTTGTTGTACCCCGTAATCTCCTTATTTTATTTAAAACCACTTCAG